TCCGGCTCTGGTCCCGGTCTGGTCCCGGACCTGGATCAGTCCTGGTTCAGTCCGTCCGTGCAAAAGTGCGGCATCGCAGTCACGGAAGTCACGTAAAAACGGGAAACGGTCGTTATCCGTTTTTTCCATTCTTCATGTAAACATAAAATCGAAAACTGAAAAAACGAATCGTTATCCGATTTTTTATTTTGGTTTTGGAGACAAATAATGAAGAAAACTGTTGTTTTTTCGTTTTCTTATTTTTGATTTAATATTGAAAAACGAATGAACGATTGATACCCAGTACAACACCGCACCCGCCCGTTAACCGTAGATTATATCAAACTTTTGCGCTGCCTACGCCATGGACTGAACCAAGACCAAACCAGGACTAACCCAGGACTGATTCCAGGACTGAAGAGGAGGACTAATCCACGACTAAACAAGGACTAAACCAGGACTAAACCTGAACTGAAACAGGACTAACCATCGGAAAGGACTTGGAGGAGAAAGGACCTAACGCTGCAATAGGAGGGTTTCAGTCACGTGATCACGAAGACACGCGAATAGCTGGGTTTTACGTAACGTCACAGGGCTACGTTTGTCAGCACGCAAAATCAGATGGAGGGCAGGAAGTGAACTGACTGGAGGAAAATGCCGTTGTGTTGTGTAGTTTACGGCTGTGCCAATTGTTCTAACCGAGAGAAGGAAAAACGATTTTTTTAGAGTACCGAATATAGCCGTCCACAAAGGTCAGAAATGGGAAAAGCTGACAGAAAAACGCCGTAAAAAGTGGATTACAAACCTGTTACCCAGATAGACTGGTTACTGCCGATACACTGCAGTTTTTCCCATAACAGTCTGTACACATAAAATAAGAGAAACATTCACCCCGGCGAAGACCAAACGATAATCATCATTTAGGCGTTTTGCACCAAGGTTGAGGACCCATCCACTGACAAAAAAAATTATATGCCTCCAAACTATTGTACGCCTTCATCTGTTGTCTGGTGTAGAACGATGTCTGAAGAGCTAAATAGTTCGTGATATCCTCTGCCTCGATTGTCGGCAAATCTTTTACTTCGGTTGAAAATTCTCTCATTTTCAATAAGATGGGGTCATGCCCAATATATTTGTCAACTAACTGCTTTTGCCTTGCTACTGAGCTCTAAATCCTTAAAATAAGAACTCTTCTTCATATCTGTGTTCTCCAGAGCCGTGTTTGTCGTGTTTGTCTTCATTTCCTGCCCTCCACCTGAAATTCGCGCATCATCATGATCACGTGACTGAAACGGCGCCCCCCTCGTTAATATAGACGTTATAGAACAATAACACTTTCATTAACCACAATCTACTGTGAACATCTTTTCTATACCCCAGGAGAATCTTGGGAGACCCCTACCCCCAGGTTGGGAATGAATAAATATCTGATCTCTTACGTTTCTGTCAATGTGTGTCCACACTATGATATGATGGCAAAATTAATTAAAATTCACTTAACTGCACAGTGGATGTAATTGTCTTGGCAATCTGAGCACAGTGTCAAATAAGCCTTCAGAATCTCCTTTATTAACCTCTGCAGGTGAATCAGACTTTTGCTTGTGTGACATTCCCTTGCATAATTTCCTTGCTCCTTTATCTGCTATGGGTGACTAAAGAACAAAAACAATGCTAATACCACCTGACAATTTTGGAGGCATACATCACAGGATCTGTTTATGGTGTGAGACAGTCTCTCCAGCTCCAATTAAGCATGCCAGAATGAGTTGCAGTGTGGACCACAGCAGCCCCACTCAGAGTTATGGATGAGCAGTCACTCTAGCGATGCCTGACCCTGAGTGCTAATTAGATATGACATTAAAATAACATGAGCTGAAGCCAGTCTTGTGCAGAAATGAAAATGCCTTTCATTGAAGGGTTTCAATTTAACGAACAGGAGTTGGAATTTACTAATACATTACGTTTTTAAAGCAAGTGTTTGGTTTGGAAAATGTGTTTCATGCTGTTGTCATTTTTACTGATGTCTGTGTTGTATTAATATTAAATAATAGCCTAATGCTTGGTACTGTATGTAGCCTATATAATGGACAGTAAAAAAAATACAGACCAACTCTATTCAGAAAGCAGCATTCAAAATCTTATTTTAATTTGTATATTTACTCCATAAACATTATTACAAAACTCAGCAAGTTACCAATATTACATTATCACCATACAGGCTTGATCACAAATATTTAAAACCTTTGCAACAGTTACAACAAAACAAAAACAAAATAATACTCAAATAATTTACATGAAAATCTATAAAACAGCAAATTGTTCACAAATTATATTTTTTAAGTTTTCATTTTTTCTTGCTTATTTGTGTTTTGCACAGTAACACAACACTCCCACAACAAGATCATGGTCTTATTACAAAACTCCCAACAAACTGTAATTATATTTCTAGTTTTCTGTTGATACTTTCATATTTTGGTTTTTAAAACCAGAAACTTGTCGCTGTAATATCCTTTCCATTGCCCAGAGAGGCGCATAAAAGGTTACTCACACACACAAATACTTCACAGCACTTTCTAAGAAAAATATACACTTACAAAATATGTTACAAATTGGCACACAAAAAATATACAAGATTTTGTAGTGTCAAGAGTTCATTAAGATTCCTTCAGGTAACAACTCTAGACAGTATATATAAAGCTCGGTAATCTTTTAATGAAAAGAGAAAAGTAATTTTTCCGATGTCAAAGAATCATGAAGTGAAAACATCCAACGTAACATTTTAATATACATTCATAAAGAGGGTTAGGTACCTTATATATTTTGCATTTCTTTTTTGTCATCTCTGGGAAACAAAAGATGAAAACAGAACAAAAAAGCTTTCTTAGCACCATTAACATGAGGCAGCTCAACAGTGGCACACTTTAGAACAAAAGAAGAAATTTAGATCAAAACAAATATGGATAAGTACATTCAATTTGACAATAGGCAGACATGAGAGAAGGCAGACTAAATGGGCACATAGCCCACGTGGAGCTTCCCAACAGCAGCTTGTCTGGGTCCTAACCCTGATACACTAGAGGAACCAAACTAATGATATGGTAAGAGGATAAAGAAAATGATTCAGTCTTGCAAAGTGCAAGTGTCAAATAAGGTTGTACAGCAGGATTACCACACCCTGAAACTGGGTGTGGTAATGGGGTAATGGGTTTGTCCACTACTCTCCTGTTCAAAAGAAAATACAAAATAGGCTTCTAAGACTGCATCTCTTATATTATTATACGGTAGGCTATCTGTATATTATTAAATTTTTCACATTTCATGTTGGAGAATAAATTAGTTATTTTATTTATTTAATATAAAATCTCATTGTCAATTAATAACACAATTGTATTGTCCACATTAGGCCGGACATACCGGGCAGTAATGCAATGAATGGTCACCTTTAGGGCCAAGGATATTTCTAGATATTAATGCTTCTTTAACTTGTAATAAGCACTCTGCCAAAACATCACATAAACAGAAATGAAGCACTTGTGTAAACATTTAAAAAGGACACAATAACAGAAAAGTACACTGCAAAAAAAGTGTTGAGAAATGACTTACGCCATTTGAGTAACTTTCATGTAAAACATAGGACATCAATATGGAGTTAATACTAAAACATAGTTTTCTTCATTTACAAAATTACTGATGCCAACTGACTGTTTTCACATTCACATTTATTTTAACTGCAAAATGTAATGTCGTCTGCCCATTCACTACTGAGCTGTGCAGAACCTCTACTTGTAATAAACTGCCTTGATTTTACAGTACAAAACAGTTATTGAACGAGGCACAGCCTCGACTGACAGGCTATTTCCTTGCTCGTACCCTCAGACATCTGCTCTACTCTCTACTTGGTCCAGAAAAGCTCCAATGAACACGTTGCCTCTGATTCTACGGCAGCCTTCAGTGCAGATCCTCCCTTTGCTTATGTGTTGATGCTTCTCAGTGCCAGGCGATGTTGAGGTAAATTTAATTTGGCAAACAAAGTGGGGAATTGAGGAAAATTCATAGTCTTTCTGATTTGGTTTAGTGAGTGGCAGACTACCACTGCTAGCTGTTGGTGCCTTTCAACACAGACGAGTGAAGTGTCCCAAATAAAATACTCTTTCAGTCTTTGTAAGGATTTCTAACCCGAGCAGCCAATATTCCACTGGATAGAAAAGAGAGGAACAGCCAATATTCACACATATATAAGAGGTCATTTACACAGCATTGTTACTTTTGGCACATTGATTTTAAGATTATAATCATCTTTTTTGCAAATATTGCATGTCCCTGTACAACAACATTGACAAAAATACTCTGAGGGTGGAGCTTTTATGAACTTGCAAGGCATAAAAATGTAAATTTAACCAGTCCTCTAAACTCCAAAGGAAAAAACAACAACTGTTGAAAAAAGAACAGTAGTCATTCCAACTTTGAGGGTAAAATACATATAGGTCTGATATGTCGTCATTACAAAATGGTCCCATCTTGTGTTTTCAAGATGTCTTGGGCTTAATATTGGCTCATTTGCGGTTGGTTTCCCTCTTGAAATGAGCCAGGCAGTGTATGAAGGACAGCAACAACAGGACATCCATATTCTGCATACAAAAACAGATGGGGAGGGGGTGTGTAGATGTCACTTAATGCATTTGTGTAAATAGCTACATCTTTAGGGAAATGGGGGAAAATACAGAATTGAGGGGTGCTAGTTCTGCTGAGAAAATATCAAAACAAAGTTCCTCCAAAAAGGCGACAAAACTGTTATCAAGGCTTAATCTTGTTTTTCTTTTCAGACAAAATAAAAACAAACAACTATAGGAACAAACAAAGCAGAAACAACAAAAGCAAGAAAAATGCAGCCATGGTCGTTTCAAATCTCAATCAAGCTCGACACAATCACTCGATAGGTAGTTTGCAAAGTACAAGAAAGTTTTTCATGCAGATATTAATTTCTTCTTCAGGGGGTCAAAGGAAGTGGGAGTAGTCAGGGAAAGGAAACGTAGTAGTCATGCAGCTCTGGCATAGCGTTGGTGTAGGTATGCATTGGGAGGAAGTTTGAGCAGGTACTGGAGGGAGAGTGAGAGGGGGTGCGACAGCCGCTGATAAGAAAATATTACCTCAGTTTCTCAAAAGAGGTCATCAGAGCTATGTCCTTATTTGGGTCTCTCTCAGCTCGCTTCCCCTTCAGTGTTTCAATGCGAGGGAACTTGGCACTGGTCTTATGGCGGTACAGTTTTTTGTGTGCGGGACCAGGGTTAATAAAGTTGGGTTTGTCAAACATGTTGCAACCAAGAGCGAGCTGAGGGAAAAGCGGGTGGGAGGCATTGAACTTAGCTTGGTTTTTACCCCCTTTGCCCCCTGACTTTCTGCCTCGACCAGCCCCAGCAAGCACCGCTCCTTTCTTTTTCAGGTCGGCCTCAGTGCCCGCCAGGATTTGGAGTGTTTTGAGGTTGAGACTATTGGCCTCAGGGGGCATGCAAGCCTCAGACATGGGGTCCCACAGTGGCTCTATAGAGGCCATCATGAACCTCTGGACTTCTGCCATCCCAGAGACGATATTTGACAGAATATTGGATGGCTCCTCAAACTCTCTCTGGTCATCCCCCACCAGACTGTTGCCCTCGGACCAGCCTGTTCCAGACCAGTCCCCGGTGCTGCTTTCTGTCAGGCCTGCCCCCTCTGCTTGGTTCTTCGCTGCCTTACCCTCTAGCATGGCCTTTATCTTTTTTGTGGAACGTGAGCTCTGTTTAGAGGTTTTGACCTTGTCAGACTTAGGAGCTCTAGGGGTGCGGGCTTTCTTTGGGCTCTGTCCTGCAGGCTGCTTGTAGTTACCTTTTCTCTTTGACTTTATACTTTTGGCACCTGTCTGTTCTTCAAATTCTTCCCCTGGCATCTCTTTTTTGTCCAGGTCCAGGACGTCCTGACTGCTGAAGTTGTGCAAAGAGAACTGTCTGTCCTCTGTTGGATAGGTGTTTGTTGTGTGCTCTTGTTGCTGCATAACTTCACAGTTCCACTTTACATCTCTATTACAGTCCATATTAATGTCGTTCACATCCTGATATTCTCCACCATTTCCAGGAATCTTCATTTCTCTGCCCACCACCTGCGGGGAAAGGTTTGGAGTCTCAGGAGGAGACAGTTCAGATAGTGACGAGTGTCTGAACTTGTCAGGGGTGAAGTTGGAGATATCCAGCAGGTCGGAAGATTCCCTGAGCGGGGTTAGAGCATCCACACTTTGCTGAATCACCACTTTAGGACTGCAGTGAGCCAGGAAAGTGTCTCGTCCCTCCTCCTCCTGCTCGCGCTCACAGGACTTGAGGCTCAGGGAGCTGTAATTGCTAGAGGACGCTGACAGGGAGCCCACTGAGTCATAGCTGATGAGTCTGCCATTGTCTGTGCAGAGAGAGCCTCTCTGGTATTGCACCTGGCCCTCTACGCAGGCTGACTGACACACTTGCAGATCTGCCCCAGGCTGCAAGCCAGCCTCAGTCAGGTAGCTCTTGTCATAAACCAGCCTGTCAGCCTGTGGGCTCAGCTGGGTGTAGTTAGACACTGGCAGGTTGTCATTCAGTGGCACAGCGGCAGGGAAGTTGTTGGGTAAGATTGGAGTCTCGGGGGTCTCGGGCCCAAAGCTCTGGCTGTGACTTGCACAGAGCTGTGGGTGCCACACGGGAGTGAAGCTGGAGCAGTTTTGTGGAGACTGCTGGAGCTCTGACTCCGAGGGAGGGGACAGGACACAGCTCTGTGCGAGCTGCAGAGAGGAGAACTGCTTCTCCTCTAAGGACAGCCCCAGAGGATACTGCTGCCTGGAGGACTGCTGGGGGAAATAGGGGAGGCTGGTGGCAGCAGAGGAGTCTGTGGCATCTAACAGGGTCTGCAGGTAGCCCCCCGGGATGACAGGGACACCCGCCTCTGCCTCGTCTGTAGAAGAGGCTTTGTCAGGGGAGCATGAGGACGAAACAAAGGGGAATTTCTCTTCTCGGGATGTTTGAGCTGTGCTGCTATTATCAGGGAAATTGGGTTTGACTGTAGCTGAGCTCTTCGCTTCCTCCAGCTGAGCAGTGAGCTGCTCTGCCTGTGCTTCTACAGCACAGGCATCCGATTCATTTGTCATGCTCCTCCCCTCCTCTCCTTCTGCCTCTTTCATTTTCAAGCTCCTCAGCCTAGCTTCACTTTTGAATTTTCTTATCCTGATTGTTTTATTTGGTCCCAATCGCCTCCTCTCTCTCTCCTCTCTCACCTGGGAGCGGCTCTTGGCTGTGACTGTGTATGTGATAGGGCTTGTGTCTATTGTGGCTGTGAGGTCTGGTGCTGCTATTATTCCCGCCAGTATGGGGGTGACACGTCCCTGGCCCTGATCAGAGAGACAGGAGCCCTGTGCAGTTACTGATTGCTCCACAGCATGAATTCTCTGAACCTTAAGCCTGTTTGCTATCTTGTATTTCCTTTTGAGATGACTAGAATTAAAAAGACGATGGCGTCCATTTAGATGAAAACCACATTGTTGTTTATCTCTGCCAGCCAGCTTAAGCTGTTCCTGTCTCTCTCTTTGCTTCTGCTGCCAGAATTCCTTCAGTGGAGCGAGTGTCTTATATTTGTTTACCGTGTCTGCATCTAAGCTCACAGTAGCATCTACTGGGGCCAGCTTGCCCAGCTTCACTGACATGAGCCTCTCTCCCTTAAACCTGTTAATTATGATGTACTTAATCACAACTGGAGGCTCTTTACGACAGGATTTCCGTCGCTTTTTGGGACACCAGTCTACATCCTCCTCCTCTTTCTGACCTGCAGGACCTTTCTCTTTTTTCTCAGCATTTTTCTCACTTTCTAATGAATCAACATCATATAAGTAATCATCACTGTACCTAACCTTTCTCTTAGAGCGTAAGCCATAATTAAGAGGGTTCGATGGGCTAAGAAAACTTGAATGACCCTTTTTATATTTTCCTTCTTGCAGCGTGTCAGAGGAAGAGGCCGTGCATGAGCTGTCGTCACTGAACTCCCCTGATTCCTCTGTGGAATTGAAGTCCATTAGGTAGTTCACTTTGGGAGTGGACATGGGGGACCCCTGGGACCCATCAAGAGGGCTCCTACCACTGCAGTCCCCCAGCTTGGCTTCCTGTACGGACTCCAGTATAAGTTCATCACTTTTAGGCTCATCGGCACTCCTCCTCAAAACTGCTGCAGCCTCCTCTTTTTTGGCACAATTGGCCAGGACACTTGGGAAAAAGTTAAACTGGGTCTCCTCTTGGAGCACATTTGTTTTTTCCCTCATGTTATCCTGGAAAGACTCGTAACGAATCTTTAGAGAACAAACATCACTGCTTAAAGTAGAGTCATCATCTTCATCATCAAAGAGGTTGTCAACATCTTCTTCAGAGAAGAGATTGACAGACAGTTCATTTTTTGAACAAAGGTCGAGCAATTCCATCTTGCTCTCGCTGATGAAGGACTCAAAATAGCCCCAGTCCTGGCCTGCATTAGCCAAGAGTACCTCCTCTCCACTCACTTTATCTAACAACAGTCCTTCGTACAGGTTCTTAGCTGTTGCCTCATCCTCTGGGTCGTCACAATCCTCTGTTGTCTTATTTCCATCTGCCCTCTTGCCCTCACCTGAGGCCTTAGGCAGAGGGAAGTTAAGTAGCTGGTCAGAGAGGAGCTGTTCTCCGTAGTGACTCACAGCCTCCCCCGCATGGCTCAGGCACTGAATGTTGATGTTGTTTATGTCAGAGAAGTCCTCCCGGCTCACATCGCCTATCCGCAGCCCTGTGTCTGCATCAGGGCCTGCAGTGTGCTCGTGCAGTGGGTTGGCTATGGGGGCAGAGTCAGCAGCGTCGCGTGTCTCTATGAAGCAGCCGATGCAGGTGCGTGCTGGCTGCAGCAGACACTCCTCTGTGAGCGTGGGGGCACCTCCGGGCTCCATCATGGCAGCAGTCATAGAAAGAGCAGCAGGGACAGGGACTTTACTTTTCTGGGACTGTCCTGACAGGCCCCAGGAGCTGAGAGCAGATGTGGAGGGGGGAGTGGGGTTTAGGTGGGGGGTCACACTTGGAGCGTCATGAGTGGAGGGGCAGGTGGGGGGTGCTGTCAGGCTCAGGGAGGACTCAGTGCCCAGGGGCAGGGGTGGGGACGCTGCAGTCCTCTGGTGCGCTGGACCCCCTTGTGAAGTGGCAGGTGGAGATGGAGGGAGTGCAGCAGCATCAACAAGTCCACACAGACTCAGATCACCACTCTGCTCACATACCCCTGCACAGAAACACACACATTTCACACTTTTAGAGAAAAGCTTTAACAAATGTCAAAGTTTAATTTCATTGTCTCTGTTCTGGAGTTTTACTGACATTTCTTCAACACTGCTCAAAACATTTAGCGACAATTAACCCACTCTCACTCAAAATGTCAATTTCAGATGCCAACTTTAGATGGTAATTATTCTGGTTTGGCTTAAAGTTAAGTGATTTTAGCATGGGCAGGTTGTAAAATGGTAGCTTTAGAGTAATTGATAAAAAGACAACCGCCAATGCTATTTAACAATTATACAAATCAAAAGGGCATACGCACTGCATTTGCTAGTCATCTCTAGTTTAAACTAGAAATAAACACATTTCCTCCCTTTTCCGATAAACCACAATAAAACTACACAAATGCAAGTGTGAGAAAGAAATGCATTAATTATGCACAGGTCAATTGTGACAATATCTTAATCAGTTGAAGATGTGCAACAATCAAACCCCACAGAAGCAGGTTGTAGCAGCAGGCTCATAGCTTTGTTTGCTCTGTATAATTAGACGAGAGCAGCCGAGGCAGGTACGTTACACATGGGACATGGCAGCCCCATATGTTGGAGACTGAATCACCAATATCATCTACACCTGCCTTCTCATACACTGAACAAACTGCTACTACCTCTCATAATCAGACAGAACTAAATACAAAAAATATCATAAACAGGCAATGTAGTGTGCAGTGCTATTACTTTTAACTTCATGATGTGTGTCATCTAATTAAGCTATTCCTAAAATCCTTTACTGATTAAATGGTCTACAAACACACAGAACCTTCCACATAGAACAACAACAACAAAAAACCAAGCAGTGGCATGCGATTGTGCCACTGCCATCTCTAATGAAGAATCCCTCCAGAGAAATAGATCTCTTTTTCCTCTCAGTCAGAAAACTGTTAGCAGCGAGTTGTCAGGGGCTGCAGGAGCATCACAGCGAGGCGTTAGAATCAGCTCTCTGTGTCTGTGAGCCCAAATGACCCCGAGCTAAAGCGTGTTAGTGGCACACGCTCAGTCAGCACTGAGACAGGACAACCAAGTCAGACAAAGGCCTATGATTAACATTTACTTGTGTAATTTGTTGATTACATTTTCACTAGTTTCATACATAATCTGCTTTCAATACTTTATTTTTATCTTTATCATGTTGTAATTTTTATATGTTATTACATTTCTTTGTTTATTTTAGGGAAAGAGGTGAATTTGTTTTCTTTTTTACCTTTTGTCTTTTATGCGCGATTTTAAACAATAATAAAATACAGTTAGTACGACAGCAGTTGACTAAATATTTGTAACTAAGTATAAGTTACAATAATTCTACCAAAGAGGAAGAAAAAAACACTTCTCTTGTTGCCTTAAGCTTGAATGAAATAGTTTGGCATGTAATCTGGTGAAAAAATAACATTACACTAATACCAGCATTAAGTGTTAATTGCTGAGAAACACAAAACCCATTATAAGAAATGTGCATCCCCTGAGGATTTACAAATAGATAAACAAGTATCTCTGGTTTGCACCGTGCACGCTCACAAACTCGTGCACGCTGTAGTGACAGAGTGAGAGTATTGGCTCGGGGGTATGGTGTTATGGAGAGGCCATCTGTCTCCAGCTGGACCATTAGCTCCTCAGCTGTTCAGAGTGTGCCACAGATCAGGCAGACAGATCAGGCAGGTATACACACACATGGGCCCTTACAGTCATGACAAATCCAGCTTGACATCAGAGGTCAAAGGGCATCTGCAGCCTCATATACACTAACATGCCGCTTAGAGTGTCATATCTATTGGTACAGATTCTGCGCAATATATAGAGAATTTATTGTTATTGCAATATCAACAGAGCCATCACAATATCCCCCCTCTCTTTCTTTCTGTCTCTGCCCTTTCTGTCTCACTATCTCTCAGATATTTAGCCTGTTATTGCATCTATACACTATATTAAGGGGCTATGATTCCAATAATGTATTAAATTGGGTCTATAAAATGTATACCAAATTATTGTCAATCATATCCGTTACAATGTTAAGATTTATTACACATTATTTTAGATTTAGCTCTGCCCTAATATCTACCGTATCTGAGTTGGCAAGCCTTCACAATAAACAGTCATAAATTCGCTGCCAAATTTTCATTTCTCACTTGCAGAAAAATCACAGCCCATCTCCTGTTCAAAGCCTCACACATCAACATGACACAGTTGTAGTCGTGTCTCTACGGTGAGCCCTCTTGGTTGGACTCGACCGGAGCCTGGATGTGACACTGCGAGTATGCCCAGTCTGCGAGAAGCATATGGAGGGACCCTGGCTGCTGGCAGGTGGTGCTGATCTTCTGATGATCCCAGGACCCTGCCAAACGCTGCAATGCTAGACAGCTCCTCCACTGCCAAACCAGACCCGACTAGACTGGACCAGTTGCATTCGGGTCTGTGGACTCTGTGGACTCTGGTTTAGCTGCAGTGAGCGTGCTCTACAGTGCCAGGTGGAGTTGTGTGGTAAAATGACATGGATATGAGAGCAGAAGCCCAAAGAACTGCACCTGCTACACTGAATACACAGGAAAAATGACCAAGATTTGGATTTCAGGTATCATGTTTTTTAAATATTGCATTTCTCACAATCACAAAATCTACATTTTCCTTGACCTTACGTCTTTGTTACAAGGTCTATTTTCTTGGTGAATGGCATGTTTGTTAGAGTCGATTAATTCTACAGATACTTAAAGGTCTTACATTAAACATAATTTAAATTGTGAGCTTTAAGTCATGTTAGAATGGTGTTACCTCATCAAAAACATAAGCAGAGTAGTGTTTTGGTTCATTCACAAATGTTTGAATAATCCTGATGTATAAGTCTGTGTACAGCTCCAAAGATCAAAATGCTCTGTTCCTCATTGTGATGCCATGTAGTGGTAGTTTCAAGTTAACAGGGACTTTTCACCTTAGTAGAGACTGGTAAGTACAGGGTTGAAATCATCCAAATGGAGCTTAAAAACCCAGTGGAGCATTTACTACTGCAAAACATCACAAAGTGGAATGTTTTCCATTTGAGAAGAAAACTAAACTAAACCTAAATATGCAGGATTTGTGGGTTAAACATGTGTCAGTTAAACAAAACAACTCCAGATATGTTTTTGATGAGGAAACAACATCATAACATTGATCAGAAAACATTGTTATGTGAGCCCTTTAACAGTTATAACAATCCATGATGATGCCAATGGTCAGTTAAGTCAATGTTCTGATTAGCTGTTGCATATTAATTGCTGAATTATTTATTTATTTATTATTCTCTACCTGCCATTCAACATTTTCTGTCAGTTGTCGGTCTTTATGTGTGTGAGTGCCAATGAGGCAAAGTCTACTCTTTTTAATTCCTGGTTTGCGTGCCTCTTCCTCTTATTCAGTCTCTCATTTTAAACTCATGATATTATCCCTATCCTATCTCATCCTTGTTACAGGCTATAACCTCCATAAACTGCCACCCTAGCTGCAGTAGAGACCAGGCACCTCAGGCGTTTGCTGTCCTGGCTGCAGATGTGCTTGCTATTGCTCTATCTTCACTATATGACATTTTGTGAATGGTGGGGGGAAATCAATCCGGCCAGCACAGGATGTTCATAATAAGTGGTGAGTAAGTGCGGCATGATTCATCGCTGGTCTCTTCGGAGCGCAGGCAATGGAGCCGGCCTCACCTCTGATACTGCAGCTTTTTATACATTACTCTCCTTTCTTTTATTATCATACCCTCCCTCTTCCCCTCTCCTTTTCTCTCTGTCTCTCTCCCTCTCTCCTTCCACTGGCTGCCACAAGAAAGACTAAGCTGCATCTACTCAGCATGACCACAGCTCAAATAAGATAAACCGTAACCAGAGATTATGGAGGCAAACTATAGGGGGCAGCAGGTAATGGCAAAAGACATACACTATTCTCCTTAACAACTGTGGCACTGATACAGGCCCATTGTAAAGCAGGAGAATTCAGGTGATAAAGCAGTTTATGAAGAGATGTCAAGAGATGCCTTTAATGTGACAATGGCTCTAAAAGATATGCAGTTTCTTTTCAATTTTTCTCTTAATGGTAGTAATGCATTTCACGTCCTTGATAATCTTTTTCAAGAGCTTAAACCTGAAGATAAAACATTAATTAAAAGTTCTGCCACAAGTTCTAATGCTATTTACCTTTTAAGGCACACGCTGACAGAGCATTTAATTAAACTATAATTTCACCTGGTATTACTTCAGTTGTATGCTTTATTATGTTGATTTTTTTACCTGTGATTTGTGCAGAGTTAGCAGTCTGTGATTTTGAGGTCTTCACGATCAATGTGAGACTGCTGTCGGTTAACACGTCCATCAATACAAGCTGGAGCTGCTCTTCCTACGCATCATTTTGACTGTCTCACCTGTGGAGGGTAGAGAGGAGACAGAGGTTAGTACAATAGAAATATTCACAGTTCAGGATAGTACAGTTAACTTTAGAGTATTGTAACTAGGCCTGTCATGATAATTACTAAATCAACTTATAATTAAAACAACTTTTGTGCAGTTTATAGTAGGGAGTTAAAGTTAAGCTATTAAAGCTCTAATAATTAACACATATTTGAACTCTATTTCATTGTGCTATGTATGTATTACTCATGATTTATTTAAGGTATTTATTTAAGATAATGTTCAGTTGTTCTGGGGTTTACTAGGGTTATCATGTATTGTTCCAGTGTGTTCCAGTGTTTTTTGTAGTAATATATCACACTTGTGATTGGTAACACTGTGTGGTTGGTTTACAGAAATCACTGAAATCAAATCTCTTTTTTCTTGCTGCTGATAACAGATATGTATCGTAGATTAATTTAAACTTTGCAAACTGAGAAAGTACACAAAGCATCTGGAGCTGAGATTGCTATAGCAACTGTAGGCCATTCTCTCCTATTTTAAGCTTCGTTACACATTTATAGCAAGAGTTGTTAACCTGTGCAAACCTTACATAGGTGGCTCTAAGCATATTTGTTTGTCGTAATTAACTGACTCCATTCGTGGTGTTCAGTGGCGTTAAGACAGAAATATGTCAATGGTCTATAATTTTAAATGCAGCAGGGGAAATGGGGTGTATATTGAGAGATATGCTCCAAAAAAATCCAAACTTTTTTTTTTACTTAAAACTAAGAATACTGATACAATTCAAAACAATACTTGACAATTAATTCTGATATCACAACAATTTCAAAATGTGTTAGTATTACCATAGGTCTTATAGTAGTTCTGATATAGGTTTTTTTTATATCAGTTAGTATCTGGTAACCCTGATATAACATCCTGTACTGTCCCTGATTCAGTGTTTAGTGATTCATCTTGAGTTTTATGTGAAAGCTCCTACTATCAGGCTTAGACTTAGATTTAGACTTTGACAAACTATTGACCCACAAGGGAAATTACTTAAACACGGTAGCTCACACATCAAGAGAAAGAGAAAAAATATAAATGGTAATAATAAATTCTAAATAAGTAGCAAAAATAGCAAGAGACTGGTGTCAAATAACGCATAATTATATAAAGGCTTGGGACAGGTACAATGAGTTACCCCCTGTGGCCGGATTAAGACACAGTACAACTATAAAACACACTTGTGCTTGGCCCCTGGGTTGCCTATATTGTTTTCTCTTCTTCCTGTCTTCAGCTCCATCTCGGGGAGAGACGGGGGAGCAGAGAGATGACAAACGAGGTGGGGGAGGGGATCTAATAACCTCTGCTTGTGCCATGAAAGGGTGAGGAGCGGGAGATTAAGCCCCACAATAAGACAAAGGTAGAGTGCAGCTGACTATAAGAAACAACTTCTGCTCTTTCGACCCATTTCTTTGTAAATGTCATTAGCTGCTCACTGACCGCAGAGGAGAGCTACCTGACGGGCACCCTGCTTTAGGTTACACACAAGAAGCAGATCAGTGGGTAATTACCTTATGAGGCGTTGAATGTGCTCATGTGTGCAGCAGGTACAAGAGGCCTGCAGCGCCACAGCCTTAATCTCAACCTGCTCTTCAACCCAAAACTGACATGCTGAGAAAGGCAAGATTTGATCTTATTTGGTATTATGAGTGCATTTTGGGGTGGGGTTGCTTTTTCTATAATGAAACAATTAACTGTTGTGGACAGAATCTCACTTGCAGAACAATCACAGCTCATCTCCTGTTCAAAGCCTGACACAGCAGTATGACACGGTTGTAGCATAAAACCTGAGTTCTAATAACTTGGTTTGCAAATTTGACTTTGATATGTGATTTTTCCATGAGCCACCATCAGAATCCCCTCATTTTTTACTCTGTGGAAGTGGAATGCTTCCAGACTAAAGGATATGTAATAATATGTAATATATATAATACTATGTCTCACTATTTCCAAGAGGTACTTACTGAAGGAAGACAAAAATATGCTGCACCATCTTTTAAAATGGCACTTTTCAAATAAAATCTTTCACAGGTCACCTCTTGCACCCATATATTGATTGAAATCACATGTTCTCTCTAACAAAAGCTGGTTGAATTTTGTTTAGTTCCTCCTGACCCAGGTGACCCAGTTGAGTCCTGTTTTCTAAATGCAGCATTCCTCTCACAGGAGCAGCCCATTAAAAGGAGCTGCTGAGCAGTGCATGTCCCCACAGCGCCAGTGACAGTTGGACTATAGAGGACCAGCCAAAACCTCAGCACCCAGAGCACAGTGTGTGCATCCACAATGTTTATGGCCAAATGTATGTGTTGGACAGAAGCCCCAAGGCTGTGGCCAAAGCATCCAGGAATCAACAGTGCATAAGAAGTACTCCACACACACCGGAGAGAGAGAGCAGGAGAGGGAGAGAGGGGGAGAGACAAAGGGAGAGATTGAGAATAGAGAGAGAAGGGGAGCAGAGAGAGGCTGAAAGAGGGGAGAGAGGAATGGGGAGAAACAAAGGGAGAGGGGAGAGAGGGGGAAGCAGAGAGAGGGGGAGAGAGGAATGGGGAGAAACAAAAGGAGAGAGGAGAGAGAGAGGGAGAAGCAGAGAGAGGGGGAGAGAGGAATGGAGGGACACAAAGAAAGAGAGAGAGGAGAGTAAGGGGGAAAAGAAGAGAGAGATGGGAGAGAGGCAGAGAGAGAATAGGGAAAGGGAGAAAAACAGAGGGAGAGAGCAAAAGCTCAAATGCTTTTATTTTGCACATTATTTATTGTCCAGCCTCAGAGTGTCCTCAGCAGACTGCAGGAGAGTGCACAGACATTGGAGCAAGGAGCACATCATAAACCTGGTGCCATGAGTACAGTGTGCTAAGACCTGCCGCAGTCACTGTGGCCAAATGAGAAGGTTGTTAAAATACAAACAATATCACTGCTACAACTTCTAAACAAATACTTATATTTTCAAACAATAAACATTCAAATGCATTAAAAACTATAATAGTAGCTGTTTTCTTCAATCTGCCCCAGGACATCTATGGCTGCTGTCAGTCTCAATGTTAAGTGCTTTGGGGATCTTGAAATGCACTATATAAATCTGAGGCATTAGTGTGAGAGAATTCATTATGAACTTAATAATATCTAATTATAATCAAACCTTGATTGTGCATACTACAGCAATGTATAAGATCATGCATAATAATTTTACATGTAACTCTTTAGTGCCCACCTCTGACAGGTTTGTGCCAGCCCTGATTCATATCCACATCATTAGCACTCCACTGAGGACTTGGGTATTTAACTCTACTAGAAGAAACCACTGTTTAAACACTAACATTAATGGCCATGTAAACACTGCATACTCGTATAGAGGCTTGGGCAGGTGTAGAAAAATGACAGCAATACCCTGGTGACCCTGCCATTGTTCCTGCCTGTTCAGTGGGGTCTCTTTGTGCACAATGAGGTACAGAAAATGCAGCAGGAGGGGGGGAAAGACAAACAGAATGATTAGGATTTGATTTCGGCCTTTTTCAATCCACCCCTCCACCTCCACAACGTGTTAATGTGCAAGCTGGATAACAAGATAAGAACATGTTTACCACGCTCTATATGGAACTTATCAGCAGCAACAATCTAATTCCTCCAAGCCCTCTTCCCAGGTCGCCATTTTTTATTTATTTTCCCTGCAATGCCTCTCGATTTGATTGCGTTTCCCTCCAGTGAAGAGCGATGGCTGCAAAGGGATTGGTTGTAATTGTAGGAAAATACAAATCAAGGTGCACTACTGTACGAGCTACTGGAGTATATGTGCTTACAAAAGGCCCATTGTGTGGAAGCTAGGGACAAAAAGGCAGTGGATACACAGCAGACAAACAGCACTGCACCACAGGGACCTGGGCTGATCCAAACAGACAACAGGCAAAATGGGGACTCCACTTTTCAACACAGGTGTATGGTTACAGTCTGACTCTAAGGGGTTTCAGCAGAGAGACCAGGTCAGAAATGGAGGTATGCAGTAAATAGGCTATATACTAATCCATCGGTTTCAGAATAGCAATTAATAATTAAAAATATATATCTTTTGAATGGGAAGAAGTCCTAAAAATGTTGCAGATAACAGGGAGCTACAACCCATAACTATTATTATTAATTAAGAAAGAGACAACAATTTTCATTAGGCTCCTGGTAGTTTCAGTGGCTGCACCTGACTTTTTTCCAAGTAGTTGAGCAAAATATGTTTTGTACAGTACAGATAATTGTAAAAACTGCACTTAACGCTTTAACTAAGAAGTGCACTGTTAGCATGTTATTTAATGTTAGCTTTACTGTGATGGTCTGCAGTCTGGACTCTGGAAATAGTCAAAAGTGTTTAGATCTTGTGATGAATAATTAGGATGCTAGGAATGTGTTCAGAAAGTGAGGAATAACTTTTGACAGCTGCAAACCGTTTAAAATAACTAAGTAATGAACCAGTTTTGTTTTTCATGTTTTAAAAAATCTGGTACAGTGCCAAGTGTATTTTGGTTAATTTACCTGATTTGCCATAAAACTATTTTTGTGCTGTGTTTAGATCAATTTTACACTAATCATGATTCATCTAAATGTAATATCAGCCAACCAAATGACAGGAGACAGGTACGAACAGGTACACCTATAATGGGTCTAGACAACTTATTTCAAAAGCCAAATACAGATTTACTCATTGTTCAAGCTGTGTGCATCCTGTCATGTGTAGTTATGAGTAGACAATGTGGACTCAGCACTGGTGGAAGTAATTATGTACAAATACAATGTTTTATAATACAGTTTCTTTACGACTCATGCTCATGTCAAAGAGGTGCAGTGTGTTAAAAAGTTGATTGTATGGCAGTGACTACACTCTTCATCACAACATTTCTATTTTTATTATTTTAAACCAATCAGACAAATTAGTTATACCAAATAATCTTAAATTGCTAAATAAATGACCAAAGTTCAGGAGTACAGTAGT